ATGCCAGTTCTGTAAATGCGCTGGAAAGTCTTCCCTCCACTCTTCTTGTCTGAAAGAACTTTCAAAATAGTTGATAGAATTCACCAGTGCAGATATCCGGGCTTTGGCATTTCTTTTTGAGAAGGTTTTTAAATTACTAACTTAGTGTACAGTTCTCTTCAGGTTTTCTGGCTATTTTTTAGTCAGTTTTGGCAGTTTCTATCTTTCTAATAATCCATCCTTTTTATCTAAGTGGTCTACTTATTGGCTTCAGGTTTTTCATAGTGTTCACTTATAATGCTTTTTGACTTCCTAAGGATCATTAGTAATAATCTCTCTTTCGTTCACAATTTTGCTAATTTATCTCATTTCTCATAATGTCTGTTTTGACTGTTGGTCAAGAAAACAGGCAGAGGCAGCAGATGGCTCTGTGACAGAGTCCCTAGTGGGAAGGCTTTGATCATATGTAGCTGGCAAGCCAGACTGATGCCAGCAACCCCAAAGGAGCTGCCAGTGGATCTTGACAGGAAAGTCATTGACTCTGAATTGCGCTATGCTCAACCAGGGGAAGATGTCAGTACTTCAAGGGCTATGAAAGAACCAGAAAAGGAGAGATTGGACAAATCTGAACTGCTGAGTTCCATTTCTTTACACAAGAAAGCACACTTTACAGCCTCCAACTGCCAACAATGCACAAGGAGATGTCCTCCTCAGAGGAAAACTTTGATAGAAAATTGAAATAGTAAATTAAAACATTGGTTGTCTAAAAACTGCCAAAATAATTGTTGGGCAATAGAAACATGAAGGACTGGCTTTTATATCTCCATAAATGTGCTCACTGTCAACATGGGTGGAGCTGCAAGAGTGACTCCACTAGGTAGCTCCCTCTCTTTGTCCTGATGGATCAGGACACTGCTGTTATGACTATACATACAGTTCTTCCTAAGGGGAGAAGATGCTGGAATAATGACTACACTTCACCTCAAATTTCTTTTTTTATATGTGATGCCGTGGTATCAGGAATAGGGATGTAAATAAAAGTGCCAGAAACAGGAATTATCCCTAAGCCAAAAACCATAACTATACTTTTACACCTTTATGTAAGAATTCTCAAGCATTCATTTCACCTGGCAAAGTTAGTATTAACAGTAAGTAGAGCCACATAGCCTGGTGGTCAGATAGCCCCCACTAGTTCCTTACCTATGTAACCTACCCTCTATGATCAAGAGTAGACTTAGGGAAGACATTCTAGAATACTACTGCTGCCTGCAGTCTAGACCAGCACAGCAGCCAAACCAAATGTCACTTCCAAACCTGGAAAAGACTGATATAAAGGGACAGAGGGAGGAATAGTGGCTGAGGGTAAGTGAATAAGTCAAAGGGTTATATGAGGAAAATTCAATATTAGTTTAACTCCTCAAAGATGGTGTGAGCAAGACAGATGTTTTCTCTTAGGTCAATTATACTGGATGCCTAAAAGTGTGAAGCCATATGTCCCTGAGACCATTCTTGTTTTTAGAACTTGGTAAGATTGAGTGGTGTCTGCAAACCTGAGTGATGTCATTCTGGGAGACATATTCTTACAAGAGGATGGTGAACTCTTCTAATTTTGAATGACTGAAGGAGACTCTGATAACATGACAATACCTCTTTACTGTTATAATCCTTTTTCCTATAAAAGATATGTAGTCAAAGAAAAGCGGGTAATCTGAAGTATAACAAAAACATTTAGTCTTTGTCCCTGGTTTCTTCTAAAAACCTTAGACTCTTGAGTGATAAGAGTGTCTTTAGAGTACTCATGAGAAAACTCTTGTCTGAGCAGATCCTGGATATCTTGAGAATTGGGGCTGGCTGCCAGAGACACATACCTGTGATGAGAAAGTTGTCTTATTCCATATTGTGTTGCTATAAAGAAATGTCTGAGACTGACTAATTTATATAAACAAGGTTCATGTGGCTCAGGATTCTGATGGCTGGAAATGTTTGAGCATTTAGTGAGGGCCTCAGGCTGCTTCCACTCATGGCAGAAGGCAAAGGGGAACTGATATGTGCAGAGATCACACGGTAACAGAGGAACAGAGAGAGTAGCAATTTGCCAGGCTCTTTTTAACAACTAGTTCTCATGGAAAATAATAGAGCAACAATCCATTCACTCCATAGAGAGGGCAGCATCTCTCTGTTCATAAAATATTGGTTCCCATGACTCAAACGCCACCCATTAGGCCCCACGTCCCACAGTGGGCATCAGATTTTAACATGAGGTATCAGGGGATAAATATTTATACCACTGCATCCTGTCCCTAGTCAGCCAAAGCTCGTGTTCTTCTCACATTGCAAAATACAATAATATTCTCCCAATTGTCCCAAATGTGTCAGGTTGTCCAGCATCAACTCAAAATTCCAGAGTCTCATCTGAGATTCAAGGTAAGTTCTTTAAGCTTTGAGCCTACAAAATTTAAAAAAATGTTATTTACTTCCAAAATATTAATACAAGAGTGGAAGAGACATTTCTTATACATTTTCATTCCAAAAGGTATAAATGGGCCAAAAGAAATGAATGCGGTTTCCTCACAAGTTTGAAACTCATCATGGCAGACATTAAAAACTTAAAGCTCTAAAATAATCTCCTTTGACTCTATATTTTGAATCGTGAGCACACTGGCTGGAGCATGTGCTGGGCTCATAATGCCATTTGCAGCCCCACATTTATGGCTTTGCTGAACATAACCCATATAGCTGCTCTCATGGGTGAAAACTGAATGCCTATGGCTTTTCCAGGCTGAGGTTGCACATTGCCAGTGGCTCTACCATTTAGTAGTCATGGCAGGGATCCTGCTGCTGCAGCTCCACTAGGAATTGTCCTGGGTATTAAATTTCTCCTTTAAATATCAGTTCTAGTTTCTTTGCTCACACATATGTGCATAGGTTATTACAAGTAGCCAGGCCAAATCTTGAATACTATGCTGCTTAGAAATTTCTTTTGTCAGATACCCTTAATCATCACTCTCAAGTTTAAAGTTCCACAGATCCCCAGGGAGGGGGCAGAATACATCCAAGTTCTTTGCCAATGCATAACAAGTGACTTTTACTCTAGGCCCCAGTAAGTTCCTCATCTCCATCTAAGACCTCATCAGTCTGGACTCTATTGTCCATATCACTATCAGCATTTTGGTCACAACAACTTAACAAGTCTCTACAAAGTTCCAAATTTCCACTCATTTTCTTGTCTTCTCAACTCTCCAAACTCTTCCAACTTCTGCCTGTTACCCAGTTCCAAAGACATTTTCACATTTTCAGCTTCCTTTTTAGTAATACGCAACTCCTGGTGCCAACTTTCTGAATTAGTTGATTCTCACACTTTTATAAAGAAATACCACAGAGCTGGTAATTTATAAAGAGGTTTAAATTGGCTCATGGTTCTGCAGGCCATACAAGAGTATGATTCTGGCATCTGCTTAACTTTCGAGAGGGCCTCAGAAAACTTTCAAGCATGCTGAAAGGTTAAGGGGAAGCAGGCACGACTGACTTGCCTGGAGCAGGAGGGAGAGACAGCAGGGAGGTGTCACACACTTTCGAACACCAGATCTTGTGAAAACTATCACAAGAGCAGCATCAAAGAGATGGCTCTAAACCATTCATGGAGGATCCACCCCCATAAGCCAATCACCTCCCATCAGGCACCACCTCCAACATTAGGGATTACAAGTGGACATGGGATTTGGGTGGGGACAGAGATCCAAACGATATCAGGGGTCATAGTGGACATGAGGGTGGGCTGGTCTCCCTGCGTCTCACCTGTCACCAGGGACACAGACACATTCAGACGCCTTGACAGAAAGAGAAGTCAGAGGCCCTTGAAGTCTCAAAGAGGAGCCATGAACAAATCTTGCATCTCAGTCCCTCACAAGGCAGTCTTAGAAAAAAAATAGTCGTGAACAAATTCAAGTCAGTCATGGTAAGTGGTGACACTGAACACCCCAACACATTGAAAAATTCCAAATCAAAGAAACTCCAGAATCCAACTGTGTCCCATCAACCCCAACTCCGCCTTCACTTCAGGCCCTCTAAGGTGTCACTTTTACAAGCCTTGAGGGACACATCAGAGCCCTGGATACTGTCCCTGTTTGGGGTGGAACAAAAACAAAATCTGGTCAGAGCTCACAGGTGATGTGACTAAAGGAGGAATTGTGGGGTGGGTGAGCTCCCCCATGGGCTCCTGTCTACACTATCCCAAGGATCTCAGGGATCACCCTCCCACCCCTACCACACTTACATGAAGCCTGAGCACGGCTGTCATCTGTGGAAAGAAAACAAACTGTGAGAGGCCAGGGAGGAGGCAGGGCCGTGAGATCCCAGAGGAGTTTCCAGAACTGTGACTGCAGACCCAGGTCAGGATCAGGAAACCCGAGGGAAGAGGATGTGTTGAAGCTGGACCAATTGTCCTCCTGAGGTCTGTTCTTAGCAGGGAACTTCCCCTGACTTGTGACTGCAGAGAGTCAGGTTCCCATGACCACAATCAAGGTGATATATTTGTCCTTCAATATCACAGGTACTTTACAAAAGAGTAAGAGTTGACAGGGCATCTGAACAGGGTAAATGTGCACGGAGATGGTGCCTCACAACTGGCAGGAAATGAGCCAGCTTCCATCTGGGCTTGAAATCCAGCAATGGAGGAAGAAAACTTGGAGCTCAACTCTTTCCTACCTGGGCTCTAGTTCTTCCACATCACAGCAGTGACCACAGCTCCGGGGACAACAGCACCAAGAACAACCAGGACAGTAATGATGCCCACGATGGGGAATGTGGGCTGGGAGGATGGCCCTGAGAAAGGAGGTGAATGTGAGGGGCCCTGACACTCAGGCCTCAGTCCTGACCCTGGTGAAGGGCTCCAGAAGGGCTTCTGCTTACCCTGGGAAGAGACATGACCCCTCATTCGTCTCCTTACCCCATCTCAGGGTGAGGGGCTCTGGCAGCTCCTCAGGCTGCACATGGCATGTGTATCTCTACTTCCCCCCAGAAGACACCACCACAGTTGCCTACTTCTGGAAGTTTCTGTACCCTGCAGGTCTGGTCCCCAGAAGTGTGCATCCTAAATTTGGTCCTCTCCATTCCTCTGTTGGGTCATTGTGATCTCTACAGGGTAGAAGCCCAGAGCCCAGCACCTCAGGGTGGCCTCATGGTCTGAGATGGGGTGGTGGGTCACACGTGTCTTTGGGGGATCTGAGGGGAAGGGTCAAAAAAAATCAGGCACTTTGCATTCCCCATGAGACACGCCAGCAGCACCCGTATGACCATCCTGAGAATGGATGGGACACCCCGGGTGGGGAAGGGAGCATAGAACTCAGACACCATCCTGGACACAGGCAGTGTCCAGGATAATCTCCTATTCCTTGGAAAGTTCTAGTCTCTAAGGCAGGAACAGAGATTTCTGGCCCTGGCCTGAGTGGAGGCCGAGGGACTCAGAAGAGCTGGAATCAGACCAACAGATACACATTGAGTGTGAGGCAGATAACAAAGGCTGAGAGGAAAATTCCTGGTGCCCCAGGCTGCTGCGGGGTCAAAGGGGACAGCTGATCAGTATTCCAGGGATTGTTTCCCTCCTTTCCCTCAGAGACTTCATTCCTTAATTGTCCCAGAGTGCAGGGCGGGCCCTCAGTCATTCTCTGGTATGGGATCTGAAACCCAGGAGGAATCTTTTCCTCAGGACAAGAGGGAGAGGGATGTTTTAGCGTTGGTCCCATTTTCCTCCCCTTCTTTTGGAAAGTGGGTCGGGGAGATCTGCAGGAGATCAGGGAGGTACCCCGTGGCCCCTGGTACCTGCGCACTGCAGCTTCTCCTTCCCATTCTTAAGGCCTTTGCTGAGCCGCTCCGGCCACCTTCCCTGCGGGTAGGTTTTCAGCAGCTCTGCATGTTCCTCCGCCAGGGCATCTGAGCCGCCTTGTCCTCTGGGGTCCAAGAGCGCAGTTCCTGGTTTAGGACAAGGTAACTGGCGCCGTCGTAGGTTATGTTCATACTCGCGGAGGAGGCTCCAGTCCGGGTCCAGGTCGCACCTGTGTATCCATTAGAGGGTGTAAGAACGTGTCCCCGGGTGGGTGACAGCCCAGGCCGCTGAGCCCCGCCTCTACCTCGACCAACCGCCAGGGATTTGGGCCTGAACTGAAAATAGAATCGGGTGTGGGCGCTTGGGGCTCCTGTCGGGTCGAAGGTCTCCGCGGCTCCTGCAGCCTCGGGGTGGGTCTCCGATTGTGCTACAGTGGGTAGCACTCACAAAGCTAAGTTTTACTTTCCCAGACTATGTATCTGTAACTCTGGTCTGTTGTATTTTTAAGCTATCTTTACTTCATAGTCCTGAGTTTGTGTGTGAGTCCAGGACATCACAAGACAAAGCACAATGTGTTGCCATATATTGCAACCGGGAGCCTGTACAGAATTTAATCACCTCAAAATTGCAAGTGCTCAATGCAGCCAAAGTGCCCTTCACCAGTGCTCATGAACTGCCTTTGTTTATTTATTTGTTTATTTATTTCTAGGCAGGGTGTCACTCTGTTACCCTGGCTGGAGTACAGTGGCACGCTCATGACTCACTGAAGCCTCGACCTCCTGGGATCATGCTACCAATGCTCCTCCCTCAACCTCCCAAGTAACTGGCGCCACAGGCTTGTGCCACCACTCCCGGCTAATTTTTCTAAAAAATTATTTGTAGAGATGCGGTCTCCCTATGTTGCTATGGCTGGTCCTGAACTCCTGGGCTCAAGTAATCCTCAGCCTCCCAAAATGCTGGTATTACAGGCATGAGCCACAGTGGCTGACCATGCACCTGCCTATTTTTATGAATTATTCACATCTAAGCTATGTGCAGGTTTTATTGGGACACTTGGTATTCTTTTTTAACCTGTTTCACACAGGGAGTTAATTAGTTTTTACACAGTCCCACAGAATGTATTAAAGACCAAGGTGCAAGTAACACTGTGCCAAGTTCTGCGGATAAATGCATTAAAAATCTATAAAACACTATGTTTAAATCTGAGAATTCCACTGCTTTAGAATTCTTTCTCTCTCTTCCTTTACCTCACCTCCTGCTTCTCCAGCCCTTCTCTCTGTCCCTGTCATCCCTCAGGCTCTCATTTCCCCTTAGTATCTACCACCCTCTCACTACTGAATTGTGGCCCTAGCTCTGTCCCATCTCCTGCTGCTCATGACTGTTCTCCCCACAATGGTCAGCAATCCTGCTGATGTGAGTCAGATTGTGTCATTTCTTCACTTAATACCCTCCAATGGCTCCATCTCACTCTCAAGAAGCCTCTAGAATGGAAAGCACAAGCACAGGGTCTTTGGGTTGTTTTGATCAAAGTTGTGTCTACAGAATATAAAAGCATATGTGCCACATAGTAGGCACTAAGTTAATTTTTGTTGAATGAATGAATGAAATAGGATTGTGTTAAAAATTGTATCACACAAAAATCACAAAATGAATAATGCAAAGCAAGTTAGTGAACATTTGGTTTCATGCAGCTACTGTGCATATCAGTTCATAAATTCATTCCAGTGGAGAACATGTCATATGTTTAGCTGTTGAATCTGTTTATCAATTTTCTATTAGTACATAACCAATTACCACAATCTTAGTGGCTTAAAACAGCGCCCATTTATTTGTCTACATTTCCTTCATCAGAAATCCAGGCCTAGTGTGAGAGATTCTTTGTTCAGGGTTTCGAAAAGCTGTACCCTCATCTTAAGATTGGGATTCTCCCCCAAGCCTATATACAGCTCATTGGCAGAATTCGGTTTCTCACAATTGTAGGACTATGGTTCCTGTTTCCTTCGGGCTATCAGAGTAGACAGTGGGGAGAGTTTCTAATTCCTATTGGCCACCAGTGTTCTTTCTCCATGATCCCTCCATTTTCAAAGCCCACAGTGGAGGAAACCCCTCACACTGAACCCCTCTACACTGTGAGTCTCTGTTCTCAGGAAGAACCCAGTCCTTTTCAGAGCTTACCTGATTAGGACAGTCCAAGCAGGATAATCCCCATCTTCAAGTCAACTGACTGGGGACCTGAAACTATCTGCAAATCCCCTTCACAGCAGCACCTGCATTAGTGTCAACTGAGTAACTGGGGTAACGTGAGTAACCAAGGGTGGTTATTGGGGTGTCATCATAAAATCAGCCTAGCTTAGCCTGGATCTTCCTTTTGTGTTTAAATAGAACATACAAATTGGAAGTCAAAAAATAGGTCACTGTTAATGATAATAAAATATATCTTATATAGCCATGGACATTTTTCTTAAATATTAAAAGCAAATGACATGTTTGATATCTCATCATTAATTTAGAGCAAATGAAAAAGTTCAATGACAAGTCACCTAAAACTTAGCAGCTCAAATCAACAAGTATTTATCACCTCCCACAGTTTCCAATGGTCAGGAATCCAGGAGAGGTTTCTCTGTGAGCTTCGGACTCAGGGCCTCTCACCAAGTTGCAGTCTAGTTGTCATCCAGGGCTGAATCATCTGAGGGCTCAGATGGGCCTGGGGATTCACAAGACACAAGAATCTCTCACAGGGCTGTTGGAAGAGGCTTCAGGTTCTTATTGTCTGGTCCAGGAGGCCTCAACCTAGTCACATGGACCTTTCCACAGGCCTGCTTATGACACCAGCAGCCAGCTTCCCCCAGGGCTCATGATCCCAGAGAAAGAGAGAAGCAAAGTAGAAGCTGCAGTGAATCTGGTGTTCTACACCCAGAGTCACAGATTATTATGTCAGCATTACTCTATCAGTTAGAAGTGAGTCATTAAGTCCAGGCCACACTCACAGGGAGGGAATGAAGCTGCACCTCTGGAAAGGAGGAGAATCAAAGAATTTATATGCATGTTAACAGCAAAATTAACATTATTGTTTCAGGATTTTGTAAATCAAATACTTCTTGTATGTGACGAATTTTCTTTAATAGCTTAAAATTCTTTTTTGTAATGATTAAAAATTTGAGACAGAGAAAGGAGATACAACAATATCTCTGATTTTTTCGCAAATGCCTTTAATATTAATGCTCTCTTTGATGAGTTGCAACAAAGTTAAGGAAAATACAGTAGCTAGATCACAGCGTCCCAAGACTTTGATGCCATGAAATAATGCCTTTAAAATCATAACTACCTTCGTTTTTCTTCAGAAGTTTCTAATTCAGTTTAAGAATGGCCAAAATGCAAATTTTCTTACTCAAGCATCTACAAAAATATTTGCCTAATCAGGGTGCTTTGCAGTTAGAAAATTGTGAGTCTCACATCTTTGCCTGTGTAACTAGCTTAGTTAGCATCATGACAGTGATTTGGTCTGATGTGGTAGATGGAAATGGTTAACTTCAATCTAGGAACAAGATTTTTCAGTAACTGGCTATTCAGTGAGCATCCTATGATCCGTTTAACATCTTTCACTGTGTTTTTTAATTAGATGTGACAGAAATGACTTGGACTCCAGTATGATTCTGAAAAACACTGTTATTTTGTGCTTCTACAAGCAGCTCTTTTGTGTTTTCCATTCTTATTGCTCTTTTATTATTTTGCTCAACAATGCTTTTTCTCTATTCTGTAAAAGTTTAATTCACTTGTATGTGTGGTAACACATGAGTAACTTATCAAATTCTCAAATTATTTGCAAGATACAATTGCCTTGCACATCAAATTGAACATTGTATATCAGAAAATGTAGAGAGTTGCCAATTAGCCAAGGATCAAATGACCTATTTCTAGCCAAGGCTATTTTTCATGTTTTTCATGGCATCCTGGTCCTCTCTGTTACATGGCTCCTTACAATTGGCTGTGGCTTGTTTTTGTTGTTGTGGTTGTTGTTTGTTTGTTTGTTTTGAGATGGAGTAT